CTTACCTCACGATCTAGGGAGTTAGTAATGGTGTCTCGGTGAGTTTTGCCCTAGTTAAAACACACATGAAACCTCAAGCCTTCTTGCTAGCTATCATTGATGACGGGTAATTGATAATTTTCATGACTCGTTAATATTGTCATGGTAAGTCCTAGTGATTCTTTTAAAGTTTCACTAGGCTGGAAAGTATTCTTTTGAGACTTAGATAAATCTACTAATTCATATAATGGTTATAATCGAACTTTAAGGCCATCATTTCTTAATTAAATGCATTGAGTAAGTCAAACATGTTTGAAATTTTGACTAAGATAACTTGGTCATGATGTTTGAGGATGGGTGACAAAAGAGTTAAACTCAATCAAGCAAGCATCGATCAAAGCATTAAAAAGTTACCGATGTGAATGACCATATCTTTAAACTTACCGCAAGTAATCTTATGGGTGATGAAATAAAAAAGAGAAACTCTTTCTTCACCCTTCATAAATGACTAATACATATCTTGTTTTAAGTGTCTTTATTTATGTCGATATTATTTATATTATTGTATTTTGTTATCTTTTTATTTAAGCGAGAGAAGAATATGTCGTCTTGTCAAAACTATATTTCTACCCCAAGAGTTGATAACTCAAGCCAAATTAAAAATAAACAACAAAGAAAGAGCTCAACTTGAGCAAAACCATCGGAATGAGTTAAATTCTTTGAAAGTAATAGTGTCTAGGCTAGCTATTTTAGTTGAGCAAAGTTCGTAAGTTTGCACGTAAGTGCCTTTGAATTGAAGAATAGATCAGTCATCCGTAATCCCTAGGGTGTTCACTATCATACCGATACTCGGTATTTGAGTGATGATTCCTATGCCACCTTTCTTCATTTCCTATAAAGAGGTTGTTTGCATTGTGAAAGTAACCGGCCATACTATATTTAGGAGCTTATATAAGCCAAATCTTCTTAAACTCTCCGATTTGATGCCATGATAGCCACATACTTTGCAAAGTCGAGCAACTCCTATGGTTAAATTTGGCTATTCATACTATACTTAAAAATAAAAGGTATTTCTCCAATTTAATGATGAGCAAGGTTAATGTTGACACTATGTCTCGGTAGTGTTAATTTAATTGATGGCTCGGGAAGAGCAAATATATTGCTACATGGAGGGAAAAATTTGATTGTAGATGATATATTATTCTCTCCTAAGTCCAATAGAAATTTGTTGAGTTTTAAAAATATTAATTTAAATGGATATCTTATTGAGACAATAAATGTTGACAATATTGAGTACTTATATATTACAAAAATTACATTATGTAGAAAATATGTATTGAAAAAATTACTCGCTTTCTTTTCTAACATTTATTATACAAATGTTCAAATGATTGAAACAAATGTTATAATAAACCAGAATTTTACTAATCCTTTTATTTTGTAGCATGACCAATTGAGCCATCCTGGATTCATTATGGTGCAAAAAATTATTAAAAATTCATATAGACATCCATTGAAGAACCGGAAGATTCTTCAATCTAATGATTTTTCATGTTCGCATGTTCTCAAGGCAAACTTATTATTAAGACTTCACTAAATAAAATTGGGATTGACTCTCCAAGCATTTTTAGAACATATACAAGGTGATATATGTGGACTAATTCATCCACTATATGGACCATTTAGATATTGTATGATTTTAATAGATGCATCTACATGATGGTCATATGTATTCTTATTATCAACTCGAAACCTAGCATTTTTTAGGTTACTTGCTCAAATAATTCGATTACGAGCACAATTTCTTGATTATACCATTAAAAAAATTTTCCTTGACAATGCCGGTAAATTTACTTCTCAAGCTTTTAATGATTATTGCATGTCTATTGGAAAAAGAGTTGAACAACTCGTTGCCCATGTTCATACTCAAAATGGTATAAGCAGAATCATGTATCAAAAGCCTCCAATTGATAGCTAGACCATTACTTATGAAAACAAAACTCCCCGTTTATATTTGGGGACATAGAATTTTACATGCAGCAATACTTATTCGTATCGGACTCGTAAGTTATCGAAATTATCTCCCCTTCAATTGATTTCCGGTCATGAGCCTAATATTTCTCATTTAAGGATTTTTAGATGTGCAGTATATGTCCCAATTACTCCTCGAGAACGAACTAAAATGAGTCCTCGGAGGAGATTGAGAATATATGTTGGATATGAATCTTCTTCTATAATTAAATATCTTGAACCATTAACAAGTGATGTTTTCACGACTCATTTTGTCGATCGTCATTTTGATGAAACAATTTTTTCAACATTAAGGGGAGAAAATAAACAGAATAAGTAGTTGGAAAAAGAAATTACATGGAATACTTCATCTTTATATCATCTTGATCCCCTAATAAAACAATGTGAACTTGAAGTTCGGATGATAATTCATTTATAAAGTCTTGCAAACCAATCGCCGGATGCATTCTCCGATCCAAAGAGAGTAACTAAATCACATGTTCCCGTTGAGAATGCTCCTATTAAAATTGATGTCCCTATAGGACAATCTATTAATGTTATAATAAATGAATCTAAAGCACGCCCGAAGCGTGAAAGATCGATCGGTTCTAAAGATAAAAATCTCCAAAAGAAAAAAAGGAAAAATAATCAAGACAAAAATATAAAAGAGGTAGATAAAATGGTCCAAAATGTTTTTGATAACAAGCTTTTAGAAGAAGTCCAAATGCTTGAGAAAAATCAAGAAATTTTGATAAATTATGTTAACACAGAGAGAAAATGGGATCGAAAAGAAACATTCATTGATAACATCTTTGCATATAATGTGGCAATTGATATTTTGAATAAGGATCCCGAGCCTAAATCTATTAAAGAATGTCGACATAGAGATGATTGGCCTAAGTGGAAAGATGCAATTCGAAAGAATTAAAGTCTCTCACAAAACGAGTAGTTTTTGGACCTAGTTAAAACACCCGAAGATGTTAAGCCGGTAGGATACAAATGGGTATTTATGTAAAAAAAATGAAAAAGATGAAAGATACAAAGCAAGACTTGTAGCATAAGGGTTTTCACAAAGACTCGGCATTGACTATAAAGAGACATATTCTCCCGTAATAGATGCAATTACATTCCATTATCTTATTAGCTTGACAAGCATTCGAAAAAATTCATATGCATTTAATGGATGTAATCACGACTTATTTAGATGGTTCACTTGATAATGATATCTATATGAAAGTCCTAGAAGGACTTAAAATGCCCGAAGCATGTAAAATATATTCTCGAGAGATGTGTTCGATTAAATTATAAAGATCTTTATATGGATTGAAACAATTTGGATGCATGTGGTATAATTATCTTAGTGATTATTTATTAAAAGAAGGTTATAAAAATAATCCAATTTATCCATGTGTCTTTATAAAGAAATTCGAAAAGGGGTTTGTGATAATTGCTATATATGTTGTCGATTTAAATATAATTGAAACTCCCGAAGAGATTTTAAGTGCCATAAATTATTTAAAAAGAGAATTTGATATGAAAGATCTTGGAAAAACAAAATTTTATCTCGGCGTACATTTCAAACACTTAAAAGATGAAATTTTTATTCATCGACCAATATATATAGAAAAAGTAGTACAAAGATTCTACATGGATAAGGCTCATTTATTAACTAGCCCAATAGTAGTTCGTTCACTTGATGTTCAAAAGGACCCTTTTCGACCTCGAGAAGATAACGAAGAACTTCTTGGTCTTCAAGTACCATACTTTAGTACAATTGATGCATTAATGTATCTTGCTAATAATACTCGACTCGATATAGCATTTTCTATAAATTTATGAGCAAGATATATTTCCGCTCCAACACGAAGACATTGGAATAGAATTAAACATATACTACGTTATCTCCAAGGAAAAATTGATATGGGCTTATATTACTCTAACAAATCAAAGACCGGATTAATTGGTTATGCGGAAGCGGATTATTTATCCGATCTACACAAAGCTCGATCTCAAACTCGGTTATGTATTTACATATGGAGATACAACTATATCATGACATTTTATGAGGCAAAATATAGCTGCCACATCTTCAAACTATGCAAAAATACTAGCAATTCATGATGTAAGTCGAGAATGTATTTGGTTAAAATCAATGACTCATCATATTCTAGAGACATGCGATTTATCCACTAGCAAGGAAGTTCAAACAAGTCTTGTATGAAGATAATACCGCTTGCATAGCTCAATTAAAGGAAGGATACATCAAAGGTGACGAACGAAGCATATATCACCAAAATCATTTTTCCCACATGATCTTCAACGAAATGGTGATATTAATGTTCAACAAATTCGATTAAGTGACAATCTAGCATATTTGTTCACAAGGCATTACCTACCATAACTTTTAAGAAGATGATTCACAAGATTGGCATGCATCGTCTTAAAGATCTTAAATAATGTCTTCAATAGGAGGAGACCAAAATGGGAATTAATTTGTACAAGGAATATCGTACTCTTTTTCCTTCATGAGGATTTTTTTCTCATTATTTTTTTCTAGTTAGGTTTTAACGAGGCATGTTCCTTATACAATAGACATTCGAGGAGGAGTGTTATGAAATAATGAATATCCATATGAATGACCATCTACTTTTCATATCCTCATTACTCATGAGCCTTAATGTGATTCAATTCACCATTCATATAAGAAATTGAAAAGATGATGCAATTAATGTATTTTTAATTATTCATAATCATTTCCAATTCTCATCTCAATTTTGAAGCCTATAAATAGGCTTAATTATTCATTAGTTGATGTACAAATTTTTAGAAAGATTAAGAGAACAATTTGAAGTTCTTATCACCTGTATTCACTTTATAATGAATTTTTTTCTTGTCATCTTTTTTTTTAATTCTCCTATATTTTTATATTTTTTTATAACATATTCAAGTATTTTTTAAAAAATCTCTTGCTCTACAAGAATCAGCTAGTTTTTTTCTCTCGAAAAGAAGCCATGGCATGTCAAATCATGGTATCAACTCCCGTCGGGGCTGATTTGGAGATGGTTTTTGATCACCCTTTAAAATGGAAGCAACCTTTCCTATTCAATCACAACCTCCTCGTTTAATCCCCAATTCCTACCCTTATTTAATCCTTCTAAATGCCCCTGAATTTACCATTAAATGCATCTCTCAATTCACAAACTTGAATTTCAAGTTCAAAAAGCAACAATGACCATTTTCAATATCACATTCAGCTACAAAACCCATATCTCAAAATCACCCACAACAAAGACCCACTTGAAATTCTCTATCAAACAATACTAAAATCACTTAATTATCGTGACGAGAGTTATTTGAGGAGGGTTATTATGCCTCTTGAAGTGCTTTTGACTCGTTATAAGAGGCTGGTTGTGAAGGATTCAGCTGTGAATGCCATTTCTTATGGTGCTAAGTTGATGATTCCGGGACTGTTGAGGTTTGAGAATGATACTGAGGCTGGTGAGTAAGTTGTACTGATGAGTGATGACTACTAATTAAGGGTGAGGCTATTGCTCTGGGAAGAGATGACAACTGCTGTTATGGGTACCTGTGATCATGGTGTTGTGGCAAAGATTAAGAGGGTTGTGATGGTCAAGGATACTTATCCGAGGAAATGGGGGATGGGGCCAAGGGCTTCTATGAAGAAGAAGAAGTTGATTTCTGAGGGGAAGTTAGATAAGCTGGGGAAGCCAAATGAGAATACTCCTCATGAATGGATGAGGAATTTGGTTTTGCCCACTGGCGGAGATTCTATGGTTGCTAGCCTTCCTGCTGCTGAATCGAGATTGGTGAGGAGAAGGAGGAGAAGAAATAAAAATCATAAGATACATAGAACTAATTAAATATTCATTTCAATGGCGTAAGTTGCTATACTAACTACATGGGGTTCCTTCCCATCTAGATGCTCAATTAGCCATACAATTACCGAAGCAACAAGTCGGCACGAATGATCTCAAGAACAGTTGTAATCTTTGACAACGCTCCTTGTTCATTTGTTTATTAGAATAACCATCCTCTTTCTTCCAATATTGCTTCCCAACGTCTCCCTTCATGATCACTTGTTTGTTGAGCACATCCACTGTGTACTCTTTTAACCCTGCAGCTAGGCACAGAATAAAATTAACAACGTCATCATTCTCTGCTAGAAATACAATAACCAAAGGATTCAATTACAAACCAGTCATCTTGGAAATAACTTGGGAAACTCTTTCTCGACATCGAGAGCATCTCATGCTTGCTGTCATTACGATAACCTGAACCTGGAAATATAGAGCAGGAAGACTAAGAAAGCATTTCAAATGAAAGCAATAGAATACCCCTCTCTCCCCTCATCATAAAAAGAAAAAAGAAAACAACAAAATCTGATGGGGAAATGAAAAGCAGAAGCAGAAGCACAAGATATATATCCTAGCAAATTACCGTGGGAAGCGTCAAATCCTCGAAAAACATGAGAGACTTTTTTGTTGATGTCACCATGAATGACGATTATCATAAACTCCTGCCTTCACTGTCTCTCTGAAATTTAAGAGCCAGTCCTCGCTTATTGAACATTATTAGCTACATATATAATCGTATTCAAAACTGAGAACAGTACATTTGTTTTATCACTATAATCAACTGACAGATGTTAAACAACCATAAAATCAAATTATGAATTTAAAGTTTAAGAATATGAATATATATATATATATATATATATAGAACCTCAACTTGATGCCTGTCAGCATCCGTTGTTTTGGATAATAGTGTAGTTTTGTTTAATCATCAGGTAAACTGCTCGTTATTGGAAGTGGTACTACTTCCAAATCATTGGTTGAAATTGGGTTTCTTTGGCATATTTGGCATGGTAAGGCCACCAAGTCTCAACGCTCCAAGCTTTTTGTCTTTTTATCTTGTGGCCTCATGTTCTTATCATTCCTTCCTTTTCTGAATCAGTGCTTAATCGGATTAGAAAAAATTTGGTGATCCAACTTACAGCAAAACAAGCATGGACAAATTGATAGTTAATTTAGAGGGTATAAGAATAATTTTATACGCACATCTCGGTGCTTCCTGACGACCATCTCGTTACTTGTTGGCAAGCTACCATGGACAAGAGAGATTGGACCAGCTTACCAATACGAGAACTTGGATAAACAATTAGAGCTTTGCCTAAGCAATCTATTATGATGTTTATTATTATTATTATTATTACTGGACCAGGCCAACTGACTGAGTCACCAGTTCAACCACTCAAATGGCACGCATTCGAACGATGTCACTGCAGACGCACGATATCTTATGCCGATGCTTCGAAGCTACTGCGTCTATATAACAAAAGTCAAAATGAATCTCCCCATAACCTTGCATGAAGTTGAATAATTATAGATAATTAAGAGGAATATCTGAAATGAAGTTGAATTAGATTACTGATACTTCCCCGGTTGGGATAGCTCACATATACACGTTGTTCTGAATCAGCAGCCAGCAAAGAAATTCAAACACAGTATATTTCCCACAATATGCTCCAATCAGAATAAAACTTGTCAACATCAGCTAAAATTTCTGTTTGAAGCTCTCGGAACTACCCAGAACCAAGCTGTATTTTTCTAAAATAAACACAAATATTACGGAACAGATGTGCTCAAACCTAGGTTTTCCTTCTATGGGTAACAGTATGATTTTGTCAACCCACTTGCGAAAAAACATGATCTATCTAGCAGCTATGTACCAAAAAAAAAAAAAAAATGGCCAAGTACACCTGCCATCTCATGAATAAAGAATCACACTCCAGGGAGTTCCGTGAAGATAATTATAAATTAGTCCTTTATTTCAAGAAAAGAATTAATTAATTTTTTATTTACAAAATAATTAATTAGTATTGAATCTACTTAATTAATATTATTTTATTTAAAAAAAATATCTTTTTTTTTTCGTCATTAAAAAAAATAAAACATTTGGAGGGTTTACTATAATTTCATACTAAATGGCACTGTGGATTCAAGAACGAATTTTTATTTATTTATTTATTTATTTTTGTGATTTTTACGCTATTTTCAAGCAATGATATACGAGTTATACAAAATTTTATACTTTGATTTTTGATATTTTCAAAATTGTTATTTTGATTTACAACTTCATTTTGTGAATCATTTTGATCTTTAGAGAGAAACAAGAGAGAGAAATGAAAAGATAGAATAGATAACAGGGAGAGCACCAACCGAGCTTATTCCGGCCAATTTGACAGATGATACTTCATTCAATTTGTTTAATTTAGAAAATTGAATTTGTTTATTGTTGTTTTAAAGATAAAATGATTGACCTCATTCCGACCATGTTTCTTACCCTCGTTTCGGTGTTTTTTTAAAGTGATTTGGAGCAAGTTTTGTTTTTATTTTTTCAGAATTTTTTATTGATTTTGTCCTAATTTTTTTTTAAAAAAATTCAACATATTATATAAAGACATTAAAAATTGAACATATTAAACTACGAGAGGCATTTTTGTCAAAGAAAAAAATGTCATGAGGATGTCATGCGACATTTTCAGGTAATTTTGCTGAAAAAATTGACCAGAAAAACAAATTAAAAACTAGCTAAAATAACAAAGACAATATAAAAACAGATTGAAAACTTGACCGATTACATAAGGATGTATGAATCTATTAACTCATGAGAACTCTAATAATACCTATTCAGATACAGATTTATCTACATTTTCCAAGTGTTGACCTCCAGTCTGCAAAACCGCAGATAGAACACATGGTCCAAGTACAAAATAAAGTAACGTGTTTCTTTGCTCTGTTTGACCACTTGGATAAAATGCATTACTTTCATCGCCCAGTGATTTAAAATGCAATAAGCTTCTGCACAATTTTGAAGATGCTGGTGCAAAATCATGACTTATGGTTTAAAAAGACAGCTCTTCTCTCCATGGTTCTCAGATTGTGTGAGAGCTGGACCCAGCCTGGAATTAGAAGAACAATAAAGATCTCAAGAGGAATCATCTCCATGCAACAATTCCACACAAATTGCGAGAATCTCACAGCCCAGCAATAGGCTATGTCCATTTACTGAAACAAAGACCTACCTGCATGGGAAGGGGAGAATCATCAATTTGCGGACTACCACTTTCTCCAACATCAAGAAGTAATTCTACAATCATATTGAACGATAGAAGTGGACTATCACATCTTGATGCTTACATCTCCAAGACATGTAATAGTAAAAGTAAAGGCATGCCCTGTAGGAATTTCCAGAGCATCTAAATACAACCTTACATACAATAATTAGTTGGTTCAACTTTGATAAAAAAAGGAAATTAGAGGGTCACGGCCACAACTATGTGAAAAAGGGAACTAAAAAATCACAGCCCAGATCTACAAGGTCATGACTGCTTCATAAGCCTTAAACTCAGACTGCTGTTTCACATAAATGAAGCATATTAGGCTCCTGAAGAGAATCAAAATTGTCTTTATAGGTTTTCACAAACCGGTGGAAACAGATCAACTAGATCAGAGAGGAGAAAAAAATACTTGAAATGAGCCATGAAACTCTTCAAATAAGCAGGGCAAGGATCTCAAGCCTCAACATAGTCCCTTCAAAATTTATTGATGGAACAATAGATCTGAAATTGAAACAGATTTTAACAATGCGATAAAATGACAGCAAAAGGGACCTTTCTGAGAGACAACAAACATAAACATGTAAAACTAGGCACGCAGTCTTGACAATTTCTGGAGAAGAAAAAAATACCAACCAAGGTAAGTACTCAGCTGAGCTTCCACAAACAAATGCAAAACTGAACATTTCAGGTAACAGAGTATGATAACTGACATCACTATTTGAAATCAAGTAACTCAAATCCTAAAGATGCACACGCTCTTCAATTACATTAAAACCCTATATTGATATTCCATGGCAGAAGAACAACGCTCAAATAGGTGATTAGGAGATGGCAAGTCAGGTTAAGGAAGGTAGCAAAATCACACTGTGAAAAGGTTCTCAATGTACTTGGCATTTCAGCTAAATTAGAAATGTGAAATATAATCGATTCAAGTATCGAGAACCAATTCAGGTATCCTATCAAGCATGTGGCAGCATATAATCTAGGGCAGCATCATTCTGAGCAGTAATACATGCCAAATTAATGTCAGTCGCGCCACATACTGTTTCAGCTGTATTTTCATAGAACCACTTTGTTTAGATCAACTATGAAGTAAGAAAAAATTCACTAGAGCACAAGAAAATAAACGCTCAGAACAAATGCTTGTTCCAGCCATGATTGGATAAATACACATATATCATTTAGAGCCAAAACATATGGCCTGAGAACACAATACACAACAGTAATAAAAATAAAATTTTCAGCAAACTAACCTCCTGGAAAATCCTCTATCCTTCAAACGAGATCCATCTCTTCGGCTCTTCTCTACTAACAAAGCTCTTTCCCTCTCCTTCTCACGCTTCTCCCTCTTCAATCTCTCCTCCCTTAACTCTTCCAAAGTCTTCTTTCCAATCTTCTTCCCCACCTCCTTTTTCCCTCTCAATGACCCATCATCTTCACCCCTCTCTTCATTCACCTCATCACTCCGCCTCTCAAGGTACCAAGGCAACTTAACTCCTTTCCCCGCAACTCCATATCCCAACCTATACTTCTCATCCTCTGCAGTCACAACCCTGATTTCCTCTTTCTTCATCTTCTTCTTCTTAGACCCTTCTCTCTCACCACCTTGTTCTTTCTCTAATCCCATAACAGGGTCGAAAATCTTAATCCCTTCAAAGAGATTAATATGGTTCGATTTAGGTTCCGATTCCGAAGCCTTTGCGTCCACCGCTGGCACCGGCTCCTCAGGTTTTTGTAACGGAGCTAACCCACGAGCAGCACGTAGGCTCTCAAGGCGAAACTCAGAGTCGCGTTTTCTCACCTGCTCACGCTTTAGTTGCTCTTCTCTCGCGGCAGCTTCTTCATCTTTCCTAACTTTCTCTCTGTTCTCGTAATTGTATACATTCCATCTCTTTTGAGGGAGAATATTAAGGCCTCCATGACCTCCCATAGTTGATTACAAATTCAAAATT